CCGGGCTGGGGATTTGAACCCGCCACCTTAGGTGTACGTGGCTGGCGCCTTAGCCGGTTGAGCTATAGGCACCAAGCCTAGAGACAGAGTTTTATATTGCCCTCCGTAGAGTGCTGTGGCGTTATAGCTCACAGCAACCTCCAGCCCCTGGGCTTAGGTGATTCTCTTGCCTCAGCCTCCCGAGTAGCTGGAACTACGGGTGTCCCCCACAACACCCAGCTATTTTTTTGTTACAGTTTGGCTGAGGGTGGATTTGAACTGGCCACCATCGGTATATGGGGCTGGCGCCCTACCCACTGAGCCACAGGAGCCACCCCATTTAAATGTTTTCATTTTGTCCAATATAAGTACAACAAATTATTTGTTAAATGCTTCCTTCAGATTACAAGTTTAAAACTTTTTAATTATTAAATTCTGTATTTAATATCATTTGAGTACAGTTTATAATTGTTACTTTATTTACTTTTTTAAGAGAAGGGTTTCACTTTTTTTTTGTAGTTTTTGGCTAGGGCTGGGTTTGAACCCATCACCTCCCTATATATGGGGCCAGTGCCCTACCCCTTTGAGCCACAGGTGCTGCCCAAAGGGTTCCACTTTTATCTAGGCTGCAGTGCAATGGTGCAGTTATAACTTACTAGAACCTCAAACTCTTGGACTCAAGTGATCTTCCTGCCTTAGCCTCCCAAATGGCGGCTAGGACTTCAGGTGCTTGCAATCACATCCAGTTACTTTTTTTTTATTTTTTTATTTTTTTATTTTTTATTGAATGGTAACTATGTACATTAATGCACTTCTGGGGTACAGTGTAGGGTTTTCACATGCAACTTTTTTTTTTTTTTTTTTGAGACACAGCCTTTCTCTGTTGCCCTGAGTAGAGTGCTGTGGTGTCAAAGCACACAGCAACCTCAAACTCTTGGGCTCATGCAATACTCTTGCCTCCCAAGTAGCTGGGCTACAGGCACACTCAGGTCTTGCTCTTCCTCAGGCTGGTCTCAAACTCCTAAGCTCGGGTGGCGCCTGTGGCTCAAAGGAGTAGGGCACCAGTCCCATATGCTGGAGGTGGCGGGTTCAAACCCAGCCC